GGTCGGGCAGCCTGCTGAGGGTACCCAGAGCAACAGGGGGTGGGGGGGTTGTTTGAGTTGCCGTCGCTGGGACACCCCGCTGAGGGCAGCGTCCCCGCGGCTCCGAGCCCCCTCAGGTGCCGCATCCACTAATTCGCTTTTCCCTTTCAGAGGCCGTACGTTTGCGATTACGAAGGCTGCGGGAAACGTTTCATCAGGGATTTCCACCGCGCTCGGCACCTCCTCACGCACACTGGCGAGAAGCCCTTCGAGTAAGGCCAAATTTCTGACTTAGGAGAAGGCCACGCTTGTCCTTACGGGAGTTGGAACCCGTGTGCGGGTGGTACGGTGCACGCCTAGCCTCGGTACTGTGAGTGCTGCCCGAGCAGTGTGTGCACAGCCTGGGACGTGGGGATTTTCCTTAGCCTCCTGAAACTCCTGTCTGCCAGTGACCCATAGTAGGTCCCTAAAGGAATGGGCAGGTATCTCCCTAGAATACAGAATTTAAAGAAGTAAGGAGTTCTCTGTTAATAAGCCCTTAATAGCTGCATATCATGGACTAGAAGCTAGGAATTCCTACCTGTTTCATTAAAAAAAAATATCTTCTTATATGTTTTCAAGTGGCTTTTGATTTAGCTCAGCCTCTGGCTTTCCATGTCTTCAAGAAAATTTTTATAGTTGACTTGTGAGTTTTTGGTTATTCTTTGTGTATTCCTCTTGTCTGATGATTTCTGTATCTACGTAGGGAGCACATCACCGTTTGAGAGTGATGATAAAAAATTGCCGTTCATTTGCAGGTGCACCGCTGAGGGATGCGGTCAGAAATTTGGACTAAAATCAAACCTGAAGAAGCACGTTGAGCGCAAGCATCAACATCAGCAAAAAGAGTATGTGGTGAGTAATTACCTGTGATACTGTAAAGTGGAGCTAAGCAAGCTCCTTTTTGTGAATTTAGTGAAACCCTTCAGCTTGTTAATTACCCGGTACTTGTACAAGTTCAAACACTGATTGGGATTTCAGTGAACACATGGACTGGGATGTCATTATTTCAAGTCTAATTATTTAAAACTTAATTTTCTTATTATTAAAACTTCATTTCCTACATAGTGCGACTTCGAGGGCTGCAACAGGTCTTTCCGGAAACATCAGCAACTTAAAGTTCATCAGTGTCACCACACCAATGAACCTCCCTTCAAGTAGGTGGATAATTTTACTAATGAAATTTAATAATTCCATTTTAACCACTGTAGATGACAACAGGTGCCTTTTCTCAAGCTTTTCATTGATGTGGCATAAAAAAAAGAGGCACGAATTTGTAGTCACAGCTGCAAGTACATTGCTTGTGCTAGTCCTTTGTTCAGTAGTTTGTTTTGAGCAACAGTCTTTAGTGCTCTGTAATTGCAGCATTCCAGACATAAGAAAACGTCTAGGGTTTATTACAGGTTCACAGGAAAAATAAACAAAAAAAAAAACCCAAACATTTTTTAGTTCACACAGTCTGAAATACAAGCGTAAGACCTTGCCTGGTAATGAAAAATGTAACTACCTCTGTTTTCCAGTAAAAAGCAGTGACTTGACTATCACTGAAGTAAGTAGCTTAGAAAAGGTGAGAGGCTTGGACACTGATCTGAGAAGCTGTGCATCGTGACTCCATTGTTTACATGACACATCAGTGTAGTTCTGATGAAAGCAAAGTTTAGGCTTGTGTATCTTACAGGTGGAACACGCTTTACAGGAGTATTCTGCTGAAGTGAAGTGCACTAATATGGCTGGGTGACAGGCATGAGAATACTGTCAGTGCTCTGCTGCTGTTCTGACTGCTTGGTCTGTACAAGCAACTTAAACCCTCCACTTTCTATCTATCTTTTCTGTTTGAAGAGCCTACTGTGTAGGGATGGTGTGAGGCTTGATTTTATAGCTAAAGGTTAACTTGCTAGAGATGTGGAAATTGTGCTGTAGTTTCAACTCTCAAGGGGATCAGAACCTTCTGTTTGAAACACGGACTGTTTCTGGAATTTACTTTACAGGGTGTGGAGGGGACAGAACAGATCTCTAGGCAAGGGAAGACTGGGACTGTTTTGTCCACTTCGGTTATTCTTGACTTTAAGAACAAAATGCAGATGTAGTGAGAAAAACTAAACCAGTGTGTTTTACACCTAGGTGTAGCAGTGAAGGATGTGGAAAGTACTTTTCTACTCCCAGTCGACTGAAGCGGCACGAGAAGATACATGAAGGTAACACGGTTTTTCCTCTTGCTTCAATTATGCTTTAGCCAAGGCAAATGGACTTCTTCCAGTACGGAGAGTATGCAGGGGTGGGTGGTGGGCATGGAAGTATTTTGGACCTAGTGATCCAGACAGACAGAACAAGAACACCCCTTTTGAGCAGGCAAATGTGATACAATCGCAAGGCATTGGATTGTTCAGTCACAAGGTACTTGTGGCAGGCTGAACAGAGCTCAGGATTCCTTCAGTCATTTCTTCTCCTAACGGGCTTCCTTGTCAGTAATTCATCTTCTGGAGATGGGCTGATGGTCAAGGCACTAGCCCAGACCTCCAGAGCTTAGTATCAGTTGCCAGTTCTGCCACAAATTTCCTGTGGTGCAAAGCCACGTAGGCTTGCATATGTGAAGTTGTTAATGTACCTGTGTGACAGGTATTTGAAATGGAGCTGTCAGGAGGTGGTCATGTCTGTTTAAACTGACCCTGCTATGATCCTGTCCATTCTTAAGTACTACTGACAGCTAACCTGTCTTCCAAAGCACTATCCAAAAAGCTGCTATTCATACTGCATTCCTTTCTTAAGGCAAGGATTTGTTTATAGTTGGTTGACCTTTCCTGTCCTAGGATTTAAAGCATGTTGGCTTTCTGTAGTTCATTTAAAAATCATTCTGTCTGCTCGATAGAGTGGTAGAGTCTTCTTTAGACCCTGGAATGTTACTGTATGGTCAAGAGCTTATTTTTAAAATATATAAATATTTATTTAGAAATAATAGATATTATTATAGTTCTTTTCATCTGTTTGCAGGGAAGTGTACAGCTGGTGAGGAAGCAGATTTACTGAAGCAATGAGAGATAGTTTCATAAAATCATTTAGGTTGGAAAGGACCTCTGGAGGTCATCTGGTCCAGCTCTCTGCTCAAGGTGGGGTCAGTTAGATCAGGTTGCTGAGGGCTTTGTCCAGTCATTTTTTTTAATGTTTCCAGGGATAAGGATTACACAGCCTCTCTGGACAGCTTGTGTCAGTGATACAAGGCTTCTTCCTTAAACCTGTTACGATTTTCTTGTGTTCTAATTTGTTTTCATTGCCTCTTGTCCCATCACTGTACAGCATGGGAAGAGAAATCCTGGCCTTTAAATGCTAGAAGTGGAGTTCCCCCTTGTAAAACTGGACTGTTTGCCAGAAGCTTTGTGATTGTGAACATCTGTCCTGTCCAACAGGCTATCCATGCAAGAAAGAAAACTGCTCATATATTGGAAAAACTTGGACAGAGCTTCTGAAACATAACAGAGCGAGTCATACAGGTAAGCTCCAAATGTTTTAGTAAACAGAGCATAACTTTTGATACAAATAGGGCACAAACTGCTATTTGAGGAGGAGTCCTTGTCTATACTGTCTCTAGACAAACTTGTTTGCTAACACATCGTGGGTTAGGTGGTTGTCAGTCTGGCTAGATGAAGATGCTGCCCAGTATATTAACTTGAATTTGTGATCCAGTTAAGAAGAAATTGTACAATGTAGGATTTCAGATCTGGGTAACTCATACTGCATTATTCTCTTGGCATCTCCAAGTTCCTTGTACTTCATGTGGCATTGTTCTACAGGACTACTAGCTTGATTCTGAGCTCCTGCAAGAAGCTGTTAATGTATATCCACGCCTGTCTCTCTCCCACTCAGACCTCGTTTGCAGCGAGTGCTACAGAACTTTCAAACGGAAGGATCACCTGAAGCAGCACCAGAAGACACACGCTGCAGAGAGGGAGGTCTGCCAGTGCCCGAGGGAGGGATGTGGGAGAACTTATACAACGCTCTTTAACCTTCAAAGCCACATCCTCTCTTTTCATGAGGAGAAAAAAACGTTCTTCTGCGATTACCCAGGCTGTGGAAGAGTGTTTGCAATGAAGGTATGTATTTTTTACACTGTTCTAATCTGAGTGACATAATCTGGAATCTAAACCTAACTTCTTTTTCCTGCTCTCTCTAACTGTAGCAGAGCCTCACAAGGCATGCAGTTGTACATGATCCTGAAAAGAGAAAGAGGAACTTAAAAGTAAGTTTTACTCTTGAAAAAGTCCCTTCAACCCTATCCTGTCACTTGAGAGAAGGGTAAACATTATGTTTCAAAATGTGACTTCAAGCAGGAAACCAGGCCAGCTATCTGTGTCATCTGGGGGATTCTTAATTTCTGTAAGGTCCTTTAAATAATGCAATGCTGGCATATTCATGCATCTCTTCTTTCCCTGCCACATTAGTAGACTTTGCTCCACAGGTAACATTAACTTGCTAATTCTGGATGTATTTTTACCAGGGGAAGCGTTCTCGCCCAAAGAGGAGCCTGGCCTCTCGTCTGAGTGGCTACATTCCTCCCAAAACCCAGCCAGGAAGGGACTCGGCTGTGGCAGAAAGCAAGACAATGGATGAGCCCATGGAAAATGAACTGCCAACTGTTGAAATTCTGACTCTGCAGTAAAAGGTTAACGTGAGAAAACGGGCTCTGGGGAATGACCAGTACAAACCTCAACAATAACTTTATTATGAAGTCTGTAGTTTGGAGGAGGGAGGTGGGTTTTAAATAAACTAATAGTGTTCATGCCTTTTCATGAAGTCACTAATGCAGTTCATTTGACTTCAGATCTTCATTTTCATCTTCCTTTACTGTATTGTTTTTCTGTTTTTCCATCTTCTGGTATGCTTTCAGCTCTTTGTCAGACATGTGTCTCAAAATACAGCTGCTCACTCCTTCCCTAGTAACTTTTGGCTTGGAAAGATAAGTGGCTTTCTCAGACATGGTCTCCAAAATCTGGTCAAAAAGCGTGAACTAAAAAGGAGGAGAAAAACAGGACTAAATACACAAACACAGGTAGAAAAACATTTCAGGCTGTTCTGTAATGACATGGTCGCTGGCTTGTCCTTTTCTAACTGCTTGTTCTTTACTCATTAGCATGTTTAGGAGAGTCACCAGAGGGGTTAAGCAGTTTCCTAACACTTAAGGTGAATTCTCACTCATCCTGTCTTGCTGTTTAAACTTGTCTGTGAAAGTGAACACCATCCGACCCCTCCCCACCCTCCTCCTCCACTAGATTTGGACATATTATGGGACATTCTCTTTGGGGCAGTGTTGTTCTAAGCTCAGCAAAACGTGGTAGTATTGAACTGAGTGATACAGTGCATTCATATAACAAGGTGAACTCTTATGTTCATAATTAAGCTTTTAAAGACAGCCTAAATCTGGATTGTTCCATGAAATGTTCTGCTCCCTACCCTATCCAGTTCTTGCTACCCTTTCCCTGTGAATTCAACTTTGTCTAAAGTTTTGTTCTTTCTGGATGAAGTGGTATCACTTTTTTTTTTCCCCAGTAATTTAGTAGAATCATCAAGGAAACCTAATTTGCTATGTACATTAAAAGGAAAAAAAAATTAAAAAATAATGTTGCATGGAATCTTTATAGAAAAAGCCAATTGTGCAAGTAACAATGAAGGCAAGTCTCAAGTCCCTGCATTTATGCTAGCAAGTAAGCTGCCCCCAGCTCCCTAACACCTTTACAGATGTTTACTTTTCCAGTCTTGGAACACCACCAATCCATCAGTTTTTCACACAGCAGCAGACAGCTAGCCTTAGCCCCAGTTGCATAGATGCATCTTCAAAAGAACAGTTGGGTTACTGAAATAATCCAGCTAAAATACAGCAGAATTCTTTTAAACATGACTTTTAAAGTTTTCAGTGAATGAGCTGGCTGAAGACAGGAAAATTTTCACCAGCCCAGTTCTGGTGCTGCAAAGGAGCAGGAACTGCTTAAACTCTGCTGTCGAAGCCAGTAGTGTAAGTGCTCTCTTAGGACAGCATGGCATTTGAGTTGTCTCTATGGGACTGCTGTTCCAGAACTGCAGGGTTTGAGCAGATGCAGCATAAGGTGGGGCAGCCATTGCTTTCATGGGAGCTAGACTTTCACTTACATTGGTGATACAGGATATACTAAAAAAGGTGGCAGCACAGAATAGGGCAAGTTAATACAAGTGCAGCTACTTAATTAAATAGATTGGTCCAAGTTCCAGGAGTCCACTTACCATGTCTGTATTGCTATCTTTTGCTTGCCGGATGGTGATTTTAACATGGTATTTCTTTTCAATCCACTGTGCTATCTGTTTAGTCTTGGTTTCTAAGTCATTCTTGGCAATAGCTGAAGAAAAGGATAACTCCTTCTGGACCATTCCTGTTTAAAACAGAACTAAAACTGCATTGGCTTAACATCCAAAAAAACTGAAATTTGTTGCTCGCTTTCAACAGCTTATAGTGCTTTGCTTAAAACCCTTCCCCTGTGGTGCTCTCCTACACAGAGCATCCCAGTCTCAACATCTCAGCATGCACCACCCTCACCTTAGAAGGTGGCTACTTAATCTCTCACACTGGCTGCAATAAGTGGGAGACTGAGGGCAAGACTGAGGTACAGAGAAGTCTCTTCAGGGTCAGGAGGCTTCAAGTATTTATATTTTAATGACAGTTTTGTTCATACTACCTGCAATGCAGGTCTAACCAAGATAAACAGGTAAGCATTTTATCTGGAATTAAAGACTTGGGGTACAAATTGCTACATTCTGCACCTAGTCAATGTAAAAGCTTTGAAGTTAGATAGCTCTTCATCACAAGCCCCTCTTCTTGGGAGTGGTGAAGCGCAATACTTGACTGGCAGTTTGATGCCTTGTAATAGAATTCAACAATTTGCAGTCTCTTCCTTCAAGATTCTCTAAAGTCGTTACCATTTGAATTATCTTTCTGTAGTTTCTTGAACAGAAAAACTCACTACCACAGTAGTACTCTCCTCTAAAAAACAGACATCTACCCAAAGATACCTTTGTTAGCCTGAGAATAAGAAGAGGATGCAAGGTCAGATGCCTCTTCTAAAACCTCTTATCCCCACTGAGTTTAAACTACTGGAGCAGATTATCTTAAGCAAAAACACGGAAAAGTGTTCAATAGTGAAAAAGCTGTTTGCTTACTCTGTACAAGAAAGGGCTCCAGACTCTTCCTAGCAGTAAGCTAGGAAAAGAGTTTCATGAATACTGGGGACAAAATTGTACAATTACATTGGTGTACTTGGTGTGCTGTTTGTAAAAACTGCCTCTTGCTTTATGCCTTGGGAAAAGAACAGAAATGCAGTGAGTCTCATAGAACAGATTCTAGTTATATTCATTTAAATAAAAATAGATCTAAACAAACAAAGCCAGCAGATGCCAAAATAATAAATCCTGAGAAGGCAATAGAAGGCTCTCTGTGGAAGCCTAGATTAATCCAAAATTTTATTTTCACCACTGCAAATCCTTAATAGCATGGACTGCAGTGACATTGCTTTGGATTGACACAAATGCAAGTAAGAGGATTTCATCTGCTGGAACCACTTCCAGCGGGGTGTTTTTCACGGCGCCCAGGCTGTGGTGCCAGAACGTACATACCTGGTTTGGGACTCGCTTTTTTCTTCTCTGCACGTCTCAGCTGCTCTTCATGAATCTGCTTCCCAGTCATCAGTCTGTACACGGGAGGTTCTGCATTCTCACGGAGGAGAACTAGTTTCAGGTCATGTTGATCCATTAGTCTGAGTGCCTCTGCCCGATGCATATTTCCTAAGCTCTCCCCATCCTGGTTGATTACGTGCAAAATCCGATAAGGAATCCTACGCCCAACGCTTCCAAATGCTGCCTTCCTTTGTGGTTCTGGCTGAGATGTTTCAGATGTACAAAATGGCTGAGTAAGTCCAAACACAGTTGACTTTCTAGGGTCAGGAACCACCATCCAGAATGGAGAAACGACCACCTTTTGTGGTACCTGGGTCAGAAGAGTACCGAAGAATCTTTTGGTATACTTGTTCTCATTTCTGGTTGCTTGACATAAAAGTTTCATCATGCAGAAGGCTGTCATTCTGAGGAAGCAGGGAAGAATTGAAAACAACTTACTCTATCAGTCAGATTCTTCTACTTATATTAGAAAGACTTTGACTCAGTTCACTAAACCCTAGGCCTTAAAACTACCCTTTCAGGCACATGTGTGGTGTTACTATACAGAATGAGTAATAAATGGTAAATTTATATAACAGAGGGCTTTAACCCAGAGAGAATCTGAGAAAGGAACAAGTTTTATGAAGAGCTGATGTTATTTTCAGTATTTAAAATTTGAACCAGAACTCCTTTGAAGAACCCAATACTTCTAGTTCATTCCTCCTCACAAGAGTATCTACTGTTACACAGCTTTTTTTTGGTTGGTTTTTTTTTATATTGAGAGAGATTAGCCAATGGTTAAGAGGGAGAATTTGCTGTCAAAACCAAAAGGCATGTCACACTTTCAATATTTTCAGTCCAGATTTTCTTTTCATGAAATATCTAACACTAGGACTTTCTTCCTGGTTCTGATAGGCTTATTTGGAAAGTGTTTAACTAAAACTACATTCACTTGGAACCACCCTGATCACACAGTGAATGAAGCAGTGATTTGTGCAGCGTCCAGCAGCCATCCCAACATCTACGGTCTTGTAAGGTTTTGAAATTTCAAGTCCTTGACCATACAGAGTAAGGCTGCCATGCAAAAATCTTCACCCTGGCATTAAAAACATGATGAAGTAACCATTACTATACTTGAAAATGTGATTGAAAAATACAGCTGAAAATTGTCCCAGAGCTTGCATGCAACATGCTTCTCATAGCACTGACCCCAAATTGTGCACTTTCTCAGTGTTCCAAATGTACATTTTTTGTGGAATTAATCCAGCTAGGTACTCAGTCTTACATGGATTAAGCACTAATATTATTTCAGTAACCTTAAAATAATTTTTTTTAAAGTGTTTTCACTTTTAAGCTCAAGTTCTTCATTCAGCCATGCTTCAAAGTGAAAACAGTGCCTTAATTTTAAACCTCTTTTTTCAGACATTCAAGGTTTTGATTGACACTCCCAGCTTTTCACAAACACTAAATTTAGGATGGCACATTCCTAGTTATAGGATTTATAGCAGATTTTTTTCCTAGTTATCAAAACTATTTAGATTTCTTACAGAAAACATGCCCCTAAATAAGTCCCATTTCACCAGAACCATCCAATAAAAACACTGATAATGATATTTTTCTTCTTCTTGAATGATGAAAAAAAACTTCTGGGGAAAAACAAGAACAACAGAGATACAGATAAGACTTGCTTGCTATACATGGAGTAGAAAATAAGTAACACATTCACATGTCCGAGATCCCCACTTGCAAATTAAAATTTAAATTGGCATCTATCCTAGCAGGGTACTTGTGAAGCTATAAACTTACAGAAGCAGCCTCAAAGTGCACTAGTTCTTCAAATGTGAAGACCAGGGAAACTTATTTTTTGGGATATTTCTTCAATTTTTTTTTCCCCAATTATTCCTGGTTCATGGAATTCCCTTGGCAATTTTGGTGCACCTGACTATTATTTGCATTTTGTTCCAAACTTCAGAAATGGGCCATTTTTTAATAGCTGCAGAAACTTTAGAAATAGGGAGTAAACTGTGGAGTGTTATCTGCAGATTTGGTATTTCATGTGCCAAAGGCAGCATGTACAGGGAAAGCCAAACACGATACATGAGCCAAACCCAACTCATAGCAGAGGAGTTAGCAAAAGTGTCTTCTTTTGCCTAGCAAGGAATGTGACTGCACTCTGTATTACATACATGCATAGAAGTATATGTATGACATGGTGTAAACAGGGAGGAGGGGCAAACACTCAGCAAGGATAAGGAACTATTTATAGATCTCAGCAGTTGTGGTGGCCACGTGCAGGGGCCAGCACTTGGCCTTGTTGAACCTTGTACAGCTGGCCTTGGGCCATTGATCCAGCCTGTCCAGGTCCCTCTGAGGAACCTCTCTACTCTCGAGCAGATCAACACACCCACTCAACTTGGTGTCATCTGCAAACCTACGGAGGGCACCACTCTATCTCCGCTTGTAGGAGATATTCTTGTGTCTTGACTTGTAGGGACAAAGGTGCTACAAACGGCTTCAGGACAGTCCATAAACGGGGCAGGGCGCCTGGGCTGTGTGCTGCAGCAGGACCCACAGGCTGCAGAAGAGGAACACCAGGACGTTCCTTCACCCTAGAGTCTAAAGGCAGCTGGCGGGGCTGTCGTCCTTCCTGCGCCGGGCTCTGCCCCTGCCAGGGCCCTGGCAAACACGCTTCTCGGCTGTGGCAGAGCCCGACCGCTACACA